TCTGACCTCTAGTACCTCTGATGACTCTGAAGCCTACTGCTGCCAAAACATTCCTTTCACTCCACTCCCCACAGCATCAGTTTCTAACTCTGCACTAGGTACCCACTTTGCATGGAAACTGTGCTTTACCAAGGTAACGTACTTGACCACAGATATTCTGTTCTGGACAATTCATCCAGCAGCTACCCTGGAACTTCCCTTCATACCAACCTTCAGGCATGAAAACAATCCATTAAACTACATCCTGATCCTCTCTCCAGAAATTTACAATGACTAACAGGCAACTACTTCCACACTTCTCCTTGCATACACTCCAGCACATACTGCCTAGTTCTACCCTGACCCTATAGTCAAGCAAAACAAGAATTGAGCGTAACATGCCAGTGTGACCTGCCTCCTACATTAACACCTCCACTACAGGTGTCCACCTAGCACCAGACACCAAGAATTGGACAGCAGTGTGGGTGAAGCATAGTCCATTGTGTTGATTCTTTACTAGAAGGTGTTGGAGCAAGACAGTACAGTTAAGCACAGGGAGAAATTAAGAATAACCCACCTTTGGGAGGCCCCTAAAGCCCTTACAAGTGCTGGACATCTCACTGCAGACAATAAAGGCTTCAGAGCATGTCCAAAGTTCATTCTTTCAGCTCAAAGTACAAGAAAACAAAATTTGCAGAAGAGGCTGACAACATGGCATGCCCACACATTAATTTACATCTGACAGTTCTGACAGCAGGATAATAACAAGAAAGAGTTGACAAACATGCAATCACAGCTGTGCACAGCCCTGAATGCAATGGATTTTTAATAGTGCATTGCACTAAACTGTAATTAAATTTATCTTAATTAAAGTTCTGAAATATATCAAAAATCAAAAAAAAACCTCTAAGACTGGAATTAGAAACACTGCATACAGGTGGAGAAATAAAGGTGATCTAATACAAGCTTAGCATAGAGGTGCACCACCGTATCTCTAGACATCACTTTTTGTGCACAGTATCATTCAGCTGCAAACTGGTGAACACTTGTAAGTCTACTGTAGAAGCACTGTCATAAGCTTACCTTGCTTATGAGAACTCTCCCCAAGTACCTGCTGTAATGCTGCCCTGAATCCTCCTTCAGTATAAGGAAATGTGGAGTTCTTGGTGCTCTTGTACTCTATAGCAGGACTTGTGTGTCATTATCAAGACAAAGTTACAGACAACAGCTACATAGAAAGAAGAATTAATGCAGGAAGTCATCAGACACTATGCAACATTAATTAGTCCAGGCAGAGCACCATTCCAATGCATCATGAAAGTTCTGGTACCCAAACTAATCCTCAACAAGCCAGTTCTGTTGTTTCTGCATGGCACTGTAATGTACCAAGCAGATATGTCAGGTATTTCAGTACTAATCTCATTCAACATCTACAATTTGAACACTTAATTGAAAGTACTAAGCAGTACAGACTCATATTGTTTAAAATGCTTAAATTTTTTACTTGCTTTGCTAAATTAAGAAATAAAATAATTAAATCTGATGTGATTTTATACTATTCACCAGCTATTAGCTACATCTTCAAAGAAAGCATTCCATTAGCTGTGCATCCAAACAAAAGTAGTAAAGACCTTAGCAAAAAGTTTAGAATAGCTTGATGCCATATTTTGAAGTAATAGTAGAACACTTTTAAACTCTTTGGATGCTTAAATTACTCAGATATATTTAAGATACTGACTTGAGAGAAACAGAAGGTATTTGCTGAACAAAGCATGCACACCCTAAGAGGCTACATGCAGTTTTAAACACAAGAGGATACTTTACAGTACCAAGAAATAACATGTTCTGAACATCAGTCACAACAGCCTGAACTAACCTCATAATATTAAAGGACACATCTCTGCCTTGCATCTGAAACCAATAATTTTGTCATCTGTAGTCCTAAACTAAATCCAGGCACTCAGGAATTTCCACCGTTGTTATATAAATCACTCTGTTGAAGCACTGGAATAAATATGGCTTCAATCTCATCACTCCTTACCTTCCAAAATTCTATTAAAAGCATGACATGGGCATCCGAAAGAACAGCTTTAGGATGAAATCTAATCAACATAGCTTTTCACCGTTGGGAAAAATTTCCTTTACCAAGACTGTCATGCTGCTATCAAAGTGGTGAAAGCATAAGGACACTGGGAAAAAAAGGAATGATGTATATAAAACAGAAGAAATCACAGCATTTATAGAGTATTCCTAAACATCACCACACCTACCATCACAAAGCCACTGACTACAAGCAGTGTGTATAAAACGATGACTTGCAATGCTACAGACCACCCTCAGCTCTGAATGAGAAAGCAGAAGAGCACAGTACTGCTTCAAAGCATGCAGGCAAATTCATCAGAAGTACGACTGCAGCCTGGGAGAGGGCTAACAGAGATTACCCTGCTTACTCTGTTACCAGAAGACAATACAGTAACACTGTGAGCCACTGCATATCACTTGGAAATTTCAGCATGTTGTAGAAAAGCATTGTTTTACGAACAATATTCAGAGCAGAGTAAGGTCTACCATTCATGTACAGGGTAAGCCTAAGAGCACTTATGGTCAAGTCCTTCTTCCGATAATCAATGCCCAAACCAGAATGCAGCTGAAGATTTTCAGGATCACGTTTTTCAACAGTTGCATATACCAGGACGGCAACACTAAAGATGCTCTGTCAACAGATGATGAGTTAAAGAGATACTTCAGGACCCAGCTGACCGTTCCAGGGAACAGCAGGCAACTAAAGGAATATAAGGGATCCACTAGAAACTCCCGTAGGGATCTGTCCCCATCCCAGCCTTTTCAGTGCATTTTCATTTGACTTGCCAAATAACACACCAGCCAGACTTCAGGAGAAAGTTAAGCTCACCACTAAACAGGAATTACTGCAGGAGATAGATACCTAAATCCATCAGTGAAAATATTCTTATCTCAATCATGCAGGTAACTTCATAAAAAATTACTAACACTAAAGAGAAAATTGTTTAAGAATATACATCTGTTCAAGATTCACCCTGGGTAGCAGAACTCAAACTTTTAACGCAGAAACTGCTTGTCATATTTTAAAGATTCATGCTCTCCTTCAGCACTAGTTAGTTCCCTGCTACTTTAAGGAATGCTCTGGAACTACAGGATCACACATGCTGCAGTTACTGGTATCCCACTGCCAGAATCAGGTCCCACTTTTGTAACAGAGATCCTTGACAGAACACCAGGAAACACAAGCTTCCACTTTCAAAGTTATTTAGCAAAGAACTACCTACATTACGGAACTGAACAGCACCAACTGAATCTCAGCTAAACAATTTCCTTGCGTAAGGATTCTCTAGAAACTCACACTTGAAGAGTGGCATAACCACTATTACACAAAAGCTGAAAGAAAACTGACAGAAGAGGAAAAATAAAGTTATGTGAAGCATAGGTGGTTCTGCCCAACAGCTACAGAACAGAACTTGCAAAGCTTGGATTTGATTCACAAGTTTGCCATTTGCCATAGACCTGCTGGATGAACTCAGGCTGCTCCTCCCTCCACTTGCCTGGTGATCTGCCTTACACTGAGTTGACTTAAATTAAGAAGTTAAATCAGTGCTCTACCACATCTCTATGAAAACAAAAAAATAAAACTTTACACTATTTGAAAGATAGTATTGGAACTTGAGACATACAAATTTCTTAGTATAGGACTCAAAGCTCCTCACGCAAGATGCCTTTTAAACATTCAAATTCTAGCTTCCTGTAATAAATTTGAATTTTCAGTGTCAGTCTGGAATTAAAAAGCAGCAGTCATAAGTCTTGTCCTCCCCCTCCTGAGGTTATGGTTTACAAAAACAGAACTTTAAAAATGTATTTTAATAGTTCTTCATAACTTTTAACATACTCTGCACCTGACAGTACTACATGAAAGAGAAAAGACAGTCATTAAGTTAAATCTCTCACTTAAAAATCCCCAGCTCGTACCCTGTTATCTTTAGCTATTTCCCCTCTACAACTATGCAATGCCTTTATTCCACAGGCATCCAAGGGTCTTGATGTTAGGATGTTCCAAGAAACTATTTTTGAAGGGATATCAGAAATCTGCTACAGTCAGTCAATGCAGCCAGAAACTTTTCAAAGAATAAAATAACCTTAAGTTTAGAAAGTAACATTTCCCCTTGACTGAATGAAATTTGACAGGTGAAATACAGCAATCTGATAAAGCATCCCAGACACACTTCGTTCAATTTTAGTCCCTTCTCCATGCCAATCAGATGAAACTGAATACTCAGCCTTACTAACGACCCATTCATACCAGAAAGGTGTGGCTTACAAGATAGGGTAAGCTTCATAAAAACGTTCTCTTCAAAAAGACAAGATTTCTGTACGGGTATTGGCTGGCTCAATTTATCCTAGAGCTAAAACACAATCGAGAGAAATGTTCTAAAACTACACTGACTTTCATGTCTATCTGACACAGAACTCGGCACCTCCCTTTCAAGTGCTGTTGCTAACACTTCCCAAGCTAACCAGCTTGCTGCAGCCTAAGCAGAGGCATGTAAAAATTAACCACAAAGGTTTTGAGTTCCTCTGAACAGAAGCCTTCCACTTCCCCCTTACAAGCAAAATTGAGACCTGGTAGCTCTGGCAAGCATCCTGCACACATCCTTGCTTTAATTATTGTAGGTGACCTCTGATAATGGCCTGACAACTTCACCTCTCAACCTACTACAAAGTAAGGCGTAACCCCTTGCTTCTACGGACTCCCTCGCACTGCATGAATCGCTGCTTCGGCCAAGAACCACCCAGCCGGCACAGACCAAGGTGATTTACAAAAGGGCATGGGTTTGTGCCCTGCCATCGGCCGCCCGGCCGCGGCCGGCTCCAGAGGAGTTCGTGTGATCCCAACCCACCGTCCCACTTCCCGGAGGGGCCGCAGGAAGGAGGCGGCCGAGGCCCCCCTTCCCTCTGGGGCTGCAGCAGACCCCGAGGCCCCGGCTGCTCACCCCTGCACGCCCGGGCTGTATTTCCTGGTCTTCCAGGGGGTGCCGGGGCTCTGCAGCGCTGGCTGAGGCGGCTGCCGCTGCTGGTGGGGGGAGTTGTTGACGGCGACGCCGCGGCTGCCGGAGAGCAGATAATTCATCCCATAGGTGCTGGCTTTATTCTCCCGTTTCCTGCGGCCCGGGTGGTACTGGTGCTGCTGAGGAGACGCCGGGGGCGGGTGCGGGCTGCGCGCCGGGTGCGGCGGCTGGTGGTGCCCATTCACAGCGTTCACTTTGTTCTCGTGGAAGTTAAAAAACTCCCCGGGTCCAGCCCCGCTGCCCAGCAGCCCGGGAGGAGCCACCGCCACCGCCCGGGGGCCGCCGGAGGAAGAGGAGGAGCCGCCGCCTCCGCCACCGCTGCACGATCCCGAGGAAGAGAAGCCGGGACTCTCGGTACCGGACTCCACCGACGAGCAGGAGGACGAGGAAGACACGGAAGGCGACTTCTGCAGCCGCCGCCCTCCCTCGCCGCCGCCGTTCACCGCCGCGGGGCCGCCGGGGACAGCGGGCACCAGTCCGGTCAGCAGGGCCGGCGGGGAAGGCGAAGGCGAGGGCGGCGAGGAAGAGGAGCAGCAGGCGCCGGGCGCCCCGAGCCGCACGCAGCCGTGCCCGCGCGGCGGAGAGGCGGCAGAGTCCAGCGCCGGAGAGTTGAGGCAGAGGTAGTGCGGGAAGCTGGCGCCGCCCCGGCCCCCCACGCCCTGCGAGGTCTCCCAGATCTGCATCCACAGCGCATTCGCGGGTCCTTTCTGCTCGGGCTGGATCCAGGCCACGCGGGGATCCATCCACGCCCGCTCGCCGCCGCCGCCGTCCCTCACTGCCCGGCCAGAGCTCCGCGCCGCCGCCCGCTCACCGCTCGCTCCCTCGTTCGCTCGGCCCGGCAGCGGCGCTAGGAGCGATCCGGCAGCAGCAGCATGTGTCGCGGGGAGGAGGCAGCGAGCGAGCTCGGCAGGGGGCCGGAGGCAGAGCCGGGCGAGGCGAGCGCGGCTCGGGAGGAAGCGAAGGCGGCGCAAACTGTCCCCGGCGCTGCCCGGAGCGCTCCGTTCGCCGTTCCAATGTGGCGTGTCCCCCTCGCCAGGGCCAGAATCGGCACTGCGCATGTCCCGCAGATTTTAAACCTTCACCGGAGACGGCCGCCCTGGCAACCGCACATGCGCGGGAAGCGGGAGGGAGACGGGAGCTGGGAATGCTCCCCCGCCCCGGCGCTCGCCGCCGCGCCGGCGCGGAGCGGGCGGCCGTGCCGCGGCCGCGGCGTGCCGGCAGCTGCGGGGCTCCCGGAGGCACGGAATGGGTCAGGCCGGACGGGCCGCAGCGCTCCAGCCTCCCCGCTCAGGCAGACGCATCCCAGAGCACGTGGCACGCGATGGCGTCGGGACGGTTCTTGAAAATCTCCAGTGAGGGAGACTCGACAGCCTCTCTGGGAAACCTGTTCCAGTGTGGAGCAGTTCCAGTTTGCAGTCCTCCTCACACAGGAAACAGCTTCTTCCTCATGTTTAGTAGAACTTTTGCATCAGTTGCTGCCCTTTGCTTCTTGTCTTACTGCTTAGCACCACCAAGAAGAGCCTGGCTCCGTTCTCTTGACAACTTCTCTTCAGATACTTACAGACATTCATGAGGTTCCCTCTCACTTGTCTTCTCTTCATCTCAGTGAGCGGCTGGCACAGCTGCAACCCTGCCTCCGTGTTGGTTTCTCACAGATACCGCATTGTCTGACCCCTCCATGACACATCTCATCCCTTTGGAGAAGTGCAGCCCAGTTCCCACAATGATAAAAGGGTGGATTTTGAGGACTAATTCAGGGGAGAAGCAAGTGCTGGCAGACCTCCTCTGGGGAGGCTGAGCAGTGGAGAGTGTGGGGCTGAGCAGGGCCACTTCATTCCCTGAGGGAAAGGGGAGGCCGGGTGATGTGTCCAGGCAGCACCATGCAGTTCATAACCAAGGGAAGGCTTTCCTTGAATTGGTAGCACCAAGACAGCACTGCAAAGCACTACATTTCCACTGGGTACTTCAGTTTTTATTGGGCTTGAGTCCAGGACTGTGGACAGGACACAGGGAGACAGTACCAGTCCCAAGGGGCATCTCTAATGGATGGGTTTCGCGTGCAGTGATCACTAAGTAAAATGGACACTGCTGTTGGAACAGGATCAGACACAGAAGCACTGTGAAGATGGGCTTTAGCAGCCTTCCAGAATGATGTCCGTAACGGTTCTCTTTCTGATCCAGTGATTTGCCTACTTCCTTGAGCAGCTTCAGTGTGCATATGGATAGTGTCCCCTCCTGCAGTACCCCCAGAAACTCCAGCAATCTAGGACTCCCCAGACTGTTCAACAGAGCCCTTAACCTGACTGCAGAACAGTACAGAGAATTGTCCGTGCATAAAGCCAAATACTATCAGGGAATCATAGAACAGCCCTCCAATGCAGCTGCACAGTACTTCTTGAATGAACTAGCTGCCGCAGAAGGTGAGAAAAGGAGAGGTCCCGCTCTCCATAATCCTGCTAATTCCTTTCCCTGCTGTGTTGTGCAATCCCTGATATTGATCAGTGAGCCAATTTAACTTTTTAATTCAGAGAAGACTGCACTTGGAAGAAAAGTAATAGTTTGCAGCAGTTCATTTCGAATTGGCTTACTTTGTGATCAGAGTTGACATTAAGGAGGGGGTGGAGAGAAGACGAGAGAACAAGACTCATTTGTTAGCAAAGGATAGCTGCGCTTGATGCAGTTGTATTCTCGAACTATGCCCTTAGACTTCAGAGCGAGGGAAACTGATATGAGGGTGATAGCCTAATGTTTATTACCGGAAGTCATTCAGAAAAAGCAGGTCATCAATTTGTTTTTGTTAAGGAATAGGCCTGTTTTCAGGACTAACAGCCAAAGTACACATAAAAGTACACAATAAACTAACCAAACCCAAGCCACATGAAAGAGCTATTCATTATTTCTCATCTAGGAGTATGTTCACCACAATTTTTTGTGTGGTCAATGAAGCATTCAGATCTTCAGCAGAGATTTCAACCTGAGTTACTGATAGCAGTCCTTGATTATATGGTTCATCTTCCAAAGGATTTTGGATTGTTTTGGTTTGGTTTTAATTGAACTTGAAAGAAGACAAATAGATGGGCCCTTGACTCTGTTATTTTTATAAATGCTATAAAAAAATAAACCAGAGAATTACACTGTCTCTTCTTTCAGCCCTGAATACTTTGCATTCCTGCGTCTGTGATGGGCTGGGTACAGCAAGGAGAGGTGAGGACTGACAATATTTCTGGAAGCATAGCTGCTGTGGTATGCTAAGGGTTGGAGGAGTTACTTTGTAGATCGACTGAGAGAGCTGAAGCAGCTACAGAGCCAACATCTCAACCTTTTTATTTCTGTGTTTGACTTTTCATGCATCCGGTAAAGGTCACATCTTCAACCTGCTTAGTTAAAACTCTTAAAATACAGGAGAACTGATCAGTGTTTTCATAGGATCATAGAATCACAGAGTAGTTTGCATTGGAAGAAACCTTAAAGATCATCTAGTTCCAACCCTCCTGCCATAGGCGGGGTCACCTTCCACTAGACCAGATTGCTCAGAGGTGGAGGGGGAAACCAAAAAGATGCCATGGCCAATCTTATGGAGACCTTTCCAAGCTCAGCAGTTTCAAGACCTGTTTTCTTTATTTCCTTCTCTACCTATTCTCTACCTCTATTTCCTGCTGCCTTCATTTAGAAGTCAGCACTTTCAAGAGGGCCTGATTTCCCTCTTTGCTAAAATTGTCTTAATTTTCAGCTCTAAGTGGTAGAGACCACTACTTTGTAAGAGGCAGTAATCCAGAAACAATTTTTGAATGAGGAGAGTGTCTCACCAACACTGTCTTGGAAGAGGGTAGGCTGTTTCCTGAAGTAGCCACAGAGAGAGTTGTCTCTCACTGGCTTAAGCTGTGTTAGACAGAATTTCTGAAGCTACAATAGTGCTTTTTCAGTTCTTTGTATGAGTTCAAGGCAGCAGATACTATGTAAGTGTAATAGAGAGCATGGGATGGATGGCTGGGCACAACGTGCTTGTAAGTCCACATTTTAAGTACTTGGGGAAGAAGGAAATCTCTGAGAAATCTATAAGCAATGATTTGATAATACACCATTTATCTATCTCATGATAATTTGTCAAAGCTTGTGGCACATCACTGAAATATCTCTGCAAAAAAGGAGGTATTACACGTTTCCTACATAAATGTGTACAATATGGAGAAATAATACCTGGTGGTCTGTTGTGGCACGACAACAAGAAACATTATCATCTTCTAACATCAGCTTTTTCTCTCCTCTGTTTCTAGCCTCTCCAGTGAGAAATCTAAATAAAGCATGTTTCTGATTTTGTCTCCTTAAAGTGAGAATTTCCCTCTAAAAGTAGCAAGTGAGAACTTCCTTTGCAAGGATTAAGTTTTTTTAAAGTCTTGTTGATTTTAATTCAGCTGTTCTTTACTGAGTGAAACTCCACACTGAAGATAAAATTCTCAGAATGTTTGGAAGTCAAGTACAGTTTGGATCAAAAATATCCTTTTTTTTTCAATAAAGCTTAATTCCCCCTGTTGAATTTATGAGGATGCAGGTAATGAAAAGTCTCCCCCTATACTTGGCACTGGTGAGGTTGCACCTTGAATCCTGTGTCCAGTTCTGAGCCCCTCAAATCAGGAAGGACCCTGAGTGAGTTCAGAAGAGGGCAGCAAAACTGATGAAGGGCCTGGAGCACGAATTCCATAAGGAATGGCTGAAGTGGATGAGGTTGTATAGCTTGCAAAAAGGGAGGCTCAGGGGTGACCTTATAACTCCCTACAACAGCCTGAAAGGAGGCTATAGGCAGGTGGGGGTTGGTCTCTTCTCCCAGCCAACCAGTGACAGTACAAGAGGATACAGCCTCAAGCTATGCCAGGAGAGGTTTAGGTTGGACTTTAGGAGGAATTACTTCACAGAAGGGGTGATTAGACATTGGAATGGGCTGCCCAGGGAGGTAGTGGAGTTGCCATCCCTAGAGGTATATAAGGACATGAAATTTTGAAATTTGAATTTTGGCCCATATGACCCTGATTCTGGCTACCCACAATCACACTACAAGCCTCTGATGCATCATCTCCTTCATGCTCGCCAGCTCTGATCTCTTTTGTAGCCTTTGTGGCCCACAGCCATTCACTTAAGAGTTGGATTCAATGATCCTTAAGGGTCCCTTTCTACTCAGAATATTCTGTGGTTCTGTGGTGGGATGGATGGAGAAGGCACAGCGACTAGAGCTCAGCAGTATATCTGACCACACTCGTACCTGACAAAGGAGAGGAGAGGAAAGAACTGAACAAATCAATGTCTCAAGTTAGATGGGATTGTGAGAGGCTGTCTCATCAAAGGAGGTGCATCTCTAACAAGTGACCTTCAGAGTGTGCTAGTCACCAGGAGATAATGTTGGGGAGGAGGTTACAGGGAAACAGTTTCCTTAGCTGTACTATCATCACCTTTTTTTTTTTTTTTTTTTTTTTTAAATAAATACATTCCTGAATGGGAGAGTGGAGATACAATTTTCATGTCTCAAATGTAGCTGATCACAATAGGGAGACAAGTAGAAATCCAGAACATCAGTTTCTAGTTCTTACAAGGTATGATTTGGGGCATTCTTTTAATCTGTTGTCTGGAAATATGGGCTTTTACCTTCTTCAAAATGGCTTGTGTTTCCTATTAAAGAAGGCCAGGCATGAGTAACCCTGAACCATGGCTTAAACCATGTTATATTTTCTCCCTTAAATCTTCTGCTTGGCTC